CGGTTCTGACGAATTGCGCGTCATAGCAGCCGCTGTGGATAAAGCTCCGGTTCCCTCGATCACCGAAGACGCCCACAGACCAAGCCTGGCGGGCTCCCTTCGGGAAGCCTGACCTTTCTTTTTGGCACCCTTTTTTTTAAGATTACCGTTACACACTTGTAACACTGTAACAGTCGATCTGGTAAGCACACACCTGGTCGTGCGTGCCTGCTGGCACGCTGTTCCTTGTGTGTACATGGTTGACAGCTGGTTTTACTGTGCTTCCTCTATGCCATGCCGCTATTCCACTGGATTGCAAGATAGCGAGATACAAACAACTATAAACAAATGACAGCGAAATACGAGAGAAAATTAGGACACAGACATATTTCCTTAAATTTTTAACATCTACTTTCACGATACGTCCCTCGACGTAGCCTTTTTATTTTTGAAGCCTGTTCCTCTTTGAAATACATCCTTCCCAAATTTGAGTATATCGACGAGGTCGGAGAGAATTAGGACGGAGAATACCGAGGTCGGACAGCACTTTTGGAGATTTTGGAAAAATCACCAGGTCGGAGTTAAATAGGTCGGACAATCTAGCTGCACCGCCATTGGGTTTTAAAAAAGATACCATGCGATAGTTATGCCCGTAATACTAAGATTCACACCACAATAGGCTCCACCAAGGGGGACCAGTAATTTACCTCTAAACTGCGTTACAATTTCTCGTTTTGCCTTATGTATTGTAAATTAATATATGCACCATAAAGCATGCTTTTTGATTTGTTCCGCCACTTTAACTGTAACGGAACTAAGTTACATGATACTGAAACGTTACCGCAGTTGTTCGTTATCATCGCATTATCTACGCTGCCATACGACGCGTCCATGCAACTATATCCTATCTGTTTCTCTGCCCAGGAAGACTAGCTTACCTACCTGTTTTTTTAGCGCTGTCTTCTTTTCACTGTTAATATTAACAGTAGGAAAAGGTTAGAATTACGATTTGTTTCCGGGTCTTGAAGGAACAACCAGTTTCCTATTTTTCTACTGTTAGAATTGGCAGACCCGCAATAAAAAAGAAGACAGCGCTGCAGAGGGCGCCGAAAAACAGATAATAGGCGTCTCTTTCGGGGCATCGAAACAGATTGGATATTGTGGCACGGACGCGTCGCACAAGGGATTTCACAAAACATTCTATGGTATTGATTTTGAAAGAGTAATACGAGGCCCTTCGCTTTAAGGGAACGCTGAATAATTCGATTTACGGTATCGTTACTAGCTTGAGACAGAATGCAATTAAGTCTGTAGCTTAGTTACGTTACGTAGCGTATGAGGCATGGTTGGTCAAGTTCCAACACATAACTTTACCTGGGTTCAGCCGCCTAGAGCACTGTAAAAAATATTTGGGGTAATTTTACCACTTTGACCTGAAAACGCACCTAGCCTTAGCCTTGTATCAGAAAATTGCGCATCCACAGTACAGTGAAATTTAGCTATACAGAGGATCAGCAAATTTCCTATTCCATTAGAAGTGTCTTTATGTGTCCACAGTAGTATAATTGCCGAGCGTATTTATTACAAACCTTTCTGTATCCACAGTGGTAAAAATACTTCTTGCCGTAAAACAGTTCGAGCAAGCAGTCGGGAAGGACGCGGCGGCCAGTGCTCTGACACACAGCCCACTCCGCCTGTTTGCTGTCTCATCAGGGGTGATTGGTGTCGGCACCGGCCGGGGTTTGAACCCCGGACTACGCGATCACCGCACCGCTGCGATACCACTGAGCCATCGAGGCGCGTACGGGAGGCGCCTCCGGGAGACGATCATATGACACAGCCCGGTTATGGCTGTGGGCCGGATAAATTTACTACTGTGGATACGCAAAGTCAAAATACTACCCCCATAGAGTGGTTTCCACTGTTCACAGGATATGCAAAATTAAACCCTGTGAACCCTTACTACCTACAACTCCATCAACTAAGAGTAATTGTCAAGCTCCACAGTGAACCTAATTTTACTACTATGGATACAAAAGATATCCTCAAATATCACCTTAGTAAAATTAAGACAAAATTCAGAAATTTAACACTTTTTTCATTGGCTATGCTAAACATGTTTACTAGTCCAGATTTCAAAAAATTGTGGGCTTTCAGGACACACTAAGTTATCCGCGATTTTTTACAGTGAGCTTGCAGATTGCACTGTGCTTCCGTTCTGTAGGCCTCTTGTTACACGTCTTATTGTATCAGCGTTCCTTATTTGTTCTTGCCCGGGGATGGAAACTTTATTTAGCACAAACTTCCCCCAAGCACGATGTTTTCGTTGATGCATTCAACTGTTCCTAGTGCGCCTCTACTCCCTGCATGATCACTTTATTTTCCTTCAGCAGACCCATAACGGCGATAGCCTTAATCTTGGCCCTTGCGTAGTCAACTTGTAGGGTAGGGTGATGGTCAGAGACTTGCCAAAGTACACACCGCGGGCACCTTGACCGGGGTTCCGTTGACTTGGAGGGCGAAACGGATCCGTTTGCGTTGGGTTGACAACGCATTCGTTTTGTTCCTCGCAGTGAAATGCGGTTGCGCATTCCGACGTCTCTGGTATTCCAGGTGGGGTTGCTCGCGTACGGGATTGAGTCGTGATGCTGTTGGTGTCCATAATGCAGGGGGTCGAAGGCAGGTTCTAACGCAGAGGTAGCTCCCGATGATAGGGATGAGACCAAGGTAGGAGAGGGTGATAGTTTTTCGGAAGTTTTTTACTCTGCGCAGCACGGTAAACAGGAGCACAAGTGAAGATGGCACATGCATATCGGAACTCGAGTTTCGATATACTGCCAAATAACACAGACCAGTTCGTGTTCAGCAGATCCAGACTCCAGCAAATGAAAATTAAAGCAGGGAATCATTCCACGCATTTATTCAAAAATGTAAAGATGTAAAAGCTTCTATAGAGAAACTTGAAGAGGACGCGGTCCTTCCCTCAAGTAGGTATAGCTTTTTCTACTGAAGACACCTCTTAGGACTTATGTACATTTGAGTTTTGCTAAAATTAAATTAGGTCGTGATGGTGATTGAAATTAATATGTTTGCACACAGACATGCCGCAGTCAATGTGTTGAATTTAATGATGATCTTCCATAATCTTGAACTTGTCCCCTAGGGACCACAAATATTTCAGTATGAAACGATTCCAACCCATTAATAGTGAACTTATGGGTTTTTCAATTTGAATACTATTCGACAGCGAGCTTTCAGTCTTAATACCTAAACTAAGCGAGGTTTTAAATCTCATAAGCGAAAAATTATTAATACAAGATTAGAGCGATATTCTAAAATTAATACCAACAGAGGCAATGAAATATTGCCTCGCTTCTTTTAAGTAACAAACATTGCTCTGGTATTTGCAGTGTCGGATGTTAGCGCAACAGTGCATCGTGAGATATCGCGAAGACTGTGATGCGAGACGTGGTCTGCGGACATGTCAATTATTCTAATAAAGTTAAGCAATACGTAGGGCATGGAAAGCGCGAATAAAGTGCAAGGGAAGATCATTATAATTTAATTTAAAACATATGCTTCGTCAGGTCAGTTAACTAGATGGTTCCGGCCGTGCGCGTTTCGAGAAAAAGTCTGGACCGAAACTAGTGCCTTAAGTTCAGTGATTTTGATCAAGGATGGAATGGTAATAAAATTATATTATCGCATTTTTGGCTACTGTACAAGAGCTATGCGACTTCGACACCGTGCATAGGTAGAGTAGAAAAGAATTCATCTGATCCCATCAGGGGGTTTCGCAATATGTGCTTAACCTAGGAGTTGCGGCAACTTTTATCTAAGAAATTAAAATACTGGCAGCCTAATATAATTTCTTGTGAAAAAGTGGACACATCTCTCCAGAAAAGCAAATATTGTGGGCAGCCCCGTTTGGCTGGGATAGAACCTTTTCTAATCTCTCGAGACACGATGTCGAAAGTTGATCGAGGCCCATAGCTTTTGAGCAGGAGCCAAAAAGGCGATAATCTAATATCATTACCATTTTCATCCCTGATTTTGATCATTTGACCGTGCAGTTCGATGTCAATGACCTGTAGTAACACCCTCGTTACGTTCGAGTCTGATTTGCTCTTGTTTTAGCCGTTAATTGGGAACTGTTTCTGGTGCTGATTTCCTTGCTTCTTCTTAACACGGTCACTGCCAGAAGCGTCTGTTAGAGGTGTTTTCATTGAAATACGAAGTCCCTGACGTTATATAGCAATTTGTTTGTCAGCATTGTTATTGAAACTTAGTTCCATTTTTCTACAACAAATCATACCTGGAAATGAGGCACAGGCCCTTAACCCACTGACACTTTAGTTACATCCCCAACCTACTGTCGAACATGGCAAGACGGTTTTTCGAATAGTTTAACACGTAACACTAGAACCGCGGCATGGGTCATTTTGACCCTTTTCGATTTTCA